CCCACAAGTTGCAACTGGAGAGCAGAATCACGAGTGGTTCTGGAATCATGAGTGGCTTTGGGGTAGGATGACTGCGTTCAAATCTGCTTTGCTGCCGTGTGACCCTGAGTGTACATTATTCAATATAAGTTTTATTTCCTTCCAACTGGAAAACAGAAACAGTACCTGTGTCCTAAGAGTTTAAAGATTAAACAAGATGTTGCCATGCGCAGTGCCCAGCATGCGAAACCACTTGATAAGTTATATAGTCATATAGGTTAAACATACATAAACAAATCTATTTCTATGGGAAAATGTCTTCTGGTTTCAGTCTGAGATCTTATCTTTCCACACAAGAGGTACCCCTGCTACTTACAGAAAGATGCTCTCTGTTAGGCATCCCAGAACTCACTTCCTATCCTTTGGGCCAGACTGAGATCCTCATTTCTTTTAACATCTATCTCAAAATTCCCCCTTAAAGAAAACATTCCTTGACTAGCTGCAGACAACTAGTCCCCTCCTCACTAAAATATTCAGTGGCTTCCTGATGGTTTGCATTTGTTGTTATGACGCTTCTGAAAGCCTGTGTTTCCCCCTCATTCCCTTTGCTCTTGTCCACAAAGTTTTAATCTCAAAGGCTACTCCAATTTCATTCCTAGCCCCACTCCCACCGCACACTACCTATGCCACCAGGAGCCACGTGCTACCTTGGAAGTGACCTAAGTGGCTACCCAGCACACAGCATGAGAACCACCCGGTTCTTCATGCTGGGAGGAGACCACTGGCATCAGAAAGACAGCTTTATCTTAGGGAAAAGGAAAAAGGCACCCAGAGAAGACTCCGCTAATACTCACAGATTACAGTGGGAGAGTCACATGTAGCTGCCTGGGCACACAACTGCTCTACCCACACAGAAGGAAAAACTCCTCGAAAATAAGACATGCATCTATGAGCATCATCTAACATGCTAGATATTTCCATGAGCCTCGAGTGCAGGTGCTAAGACAGAGGCCTGAGCCTATGGAGATCCCAAGGTGACCCTCAGGAGCTTCCTCTCCAGGAAGGAGGAGACAAATGACAATCTGAGGCCAGGATTCACCTCTGAGAGAAAAGAACGGGCTCCCACTTCTGCTCCTAGTAGGGGCACTGCAGAGAGGTGGGAGGAAAATGTACGCCAACAACGAACAACTAGAATCTCTCAAGGGGAAGCACCCAAGAGAGCTACTCTGCAAACTTCAGCCCCACTAAGCATCTCAAATGTGGACTGAAGAGAGGGCTGCCCAACGGCATGCTGAGAAAATATTAACCTGCGAGTACCTCAATGAGGAGAAAGGAGAATAACTGAACTCAAAAGAGATCAGGCAGACAGACAAATAAGAAGAAATGAGGCTCTGAACACCATCATTGGGCGAGTATGACGGTAGAGGAGAGGTACTTGTGTATTTGTGCCTACACGGTGCCATCCCTCTAACGGGGCATCTGCTCTGTGGCAAGAACCTGAAGAAAGGTAAGGTCACATCAAACCTGGACCGGTGTCACAATGAACTGGAAGTGTATAGCATGAAGTTGACAGATGAGCAGCGAGTGTCCACAGTGATATAAACAGACCACTGACAATATCTGAACCCAGTTCTAGTTCAGTGGACAAAGGGAACTTGAGTGTGTGTATGCAGGAGGAAGGAGTGCAGTCAGTCAAAATGAAAAGCCAGGTCTGTGGATTCCAAACTGTGGCACACATTCCACAGGGGCTACACAAGATAATACTAAAGTGGGATGCGGATGAACATTTTTAATCTTACATATCTATTTTAATGTATATTAGGGAATAATCCAGTGATACCACCAAATTCATGTTTTTAGAGATTTTCTGTATCAGGATGATGCCAGGTAAAGAAGTGAGTTGCTTTAAGATCAACTTAAAGAAATGTATTAAGGCTGGGCTGGGTGGTGGTTCATGCCTGTAATCCTAACATTTTGGGAGGCGGAGGCAGGAGGATTGCCTGAGGCCAAGAGTTTGAGACCAGCCTAAGCAAGAGCAAGACCCCGTGTGTCTACAAAAAACAGAAAAATTAGCCAGGTGTGGTGGCACATGCCAAGACAGGGAGTGAAGGTGTACAGACATGACTAAAGTTTGGGAAACTCTGAGGCACCCATGTAAAGAGGCCTTGAACAGAAGAACATCATTATATGGAAATACACAATTTTTTCACAAATTACTTGCATAATTGTTACCTGTACTTTAACTCCAAAGAGTAAACTCGGCAAGTACTTTGACAAAGGTAGAGTTTCCTGTCTTTGTCCACAGGCCAGATATAGGGCAGGTGAACTGTGTGTGCATCGTCACCTGCTCATCCAGCCACCTGTGATGAGTGGCTGGATTACAACCTGGCTGGAGGCAGTACCAGCAGAACCTTCCAGTTTCTGGCCCAGTCTTCTTCATGGCATCCAATCCTCCCACCCCTCCTGTGGTTCTTTCCATGCCAGCTTCAATAGCGTTCTAGTTTCCCAGAAAAAAAATTCTTTCCCAAACAAAGTAATATACACAGAGACTTTTCAGTTAAAAAGTGCATTTGCTAAGAAAGGGGGGAAAGCTAAGTCCCTTACAAATATCTGAGCACACCCATACACTCCAGTCCTAACAGGACGAGGAAAGTTCTATCGTTCGCTGTCTTCCTGTTTTGTGTCCTCTGTCCATTGTCTGTAGACGGGGACACAACAGCTTGTTCTGTGGCTGGGGCAGGTCCGCTTTCACACATCCTTAACTCTCATCCTTTGCCTCGTGTGATAAAATTAATCTCAGGCAAAGATCTAGTTGATTTTCTCCTAATCTCCATCTTCCTTCTTGTGTGTTCCCAGCGCATGCTTTAAGGCCTCCTCCAAAGCTGCTTCTGCTTCTGTCTAACCACAAACTCAGCAGTATTTTAAGCTTAGGAGAATTTACCAGTACTGTCTGGCCTCTCCCCATCTGTACTGTACATTGCTTCGTACAAAACATTAGGTGAGCGTGGCTCTCCTGGAAACCTGAGAAGCACATCACCCCTAGCCCGATGCCTCGTTCGTTAGGCAGGTGTGAGAGAGGCCAGTCCTGTTCCAAGTGTTCCCTGGTACAACTGGAGGGGCCCAGGCCACGTGTAGACCATGGTGAGAATGAACCCAGCAGATATTTAAGAGGAACACACGCTACTGTGAGAAGGAAAGCCAATTCCGCTATAAGGTCAGAGCCCTGAAATTGTGACTATCTGCTGGCCTAAAAATTCTTCTAGGCATTTATCATAAAGAAACGAAATGAATAGGAGCGATTTAGCTCCGAGTGTGTTACTAGCGGCTTTATGTATAAAAGCGAAATATCTGAAACAACCCAGATGATGTGAAATGTACCAAGGTGCAGCCACATTGTGGTGTTCTACGACATCTTTAAGTGCAGTGATGTTTTAGGGATGGAGAAGATTTGTTTTCAGGAGTTATGACAAGGAAGGCCGTTTCTTTAGAAATATGAGAGGATTAAAAAAAAAACAACACCTTTTTTTCTTTGCAACAAAGAAAGAGAAAAATGCTAATCCAGATACGGCACCTCTCCTTCTCTAGGCAGAGTAGGTCACTGTCCTGTTCTGTGCCTTTACTGTACCTGGTAGAGACTAGTAATAATAATAATTAATAATGATGATGATACCACCGCCACACCACCCCACAGTCCTGAACACGTATTCTGCACCTGACGCCATATGAAGTGCTTTAATCCTCATGACAACCCCATGTAGTAGAAAGCATCACCCCTATTTTCCAGAAGAGGAACCTGGGGTCCTGAGATGTTAAATAACTTCCCACGTCATGGCTGGTGAGCAACTGAGGCAGAATTCACACCCAGGAACCAGAGTATGTGCTTCTACCCACTACATCCCACGGCCTCTCCCAGCAACACCTGTCTCTGCGAGAGCAGCTCTGCTGCTCACTTACCGTTTTGCATTCACTTGTCTACTTCCCTTACTCAGTTTTGAGCTCCGTAAAGGCAAGGCCCCATGTTCATATTCCCGGTCCCTGCAGGCGTTGTGTACACATCGGCTGTGTGAATAAACCAGCCTTGGGATCTTCCTGTGATTAAACAGTAGCTCATCATGGAAGCAGCAGCTCTTAGTTATCGGCCCTTGCCACGTTCTAGGCCTTGTGCCAGATGCCAAAATGCATAATTTCATTTAATTCTCAAAACTTCCCTATGAGGTGGGCACTATTATCACTATTTTACAGATGAGCAAACTGAGGCTGAGAGAGGTAAAGCTTTGCCTACATCGTAGCGCTGATACAAGAACCCACGATGGACTGATTTCAGGCAGAGCTTGAGGCCTTCACGCCCATGTTATACCACATGACTTTATTATAGAGGCTAAAATGAGACTATATTTTAGGGCCCAGTACCTGATCACTGCAAAGAAGTCAGAAATCCTGAGATGAAAAACAGATTTGATACAATCGTGGTGATAACACTCTGCTATTTGGAACACGGAAGGTATTGGTCTCTAATTCGTTAATTGATTTCACATGTTTTTGGGTAGCGACCCTCCCCCACGCCATCCTGGGCTCTGCCAGAGGCAGAGGAAAAGTGGCGCACAACAAAGCTGTGCCCTCACAGCGCCACAGCCTAGCAGGGTGCGTGACTCACGCTAACACGCATCTCATTACAGACGGGAGAAGGAAGGGACCCTGGTTTTATGGGAGTTGCTAACAAAGGTGGGGGGGGAAGAAGCCATGCCTGAGCCCAGCTCTTGTGTAGCGAAAGGAAAAGAGGCTCAGCTGTTTGCCCACAGGAGATCTGGAAAGACAGTCCTCAGGGGCAGCCGCTGCCTTTCATTCTCAGCAGTGCGAATTCCTGTCCTATTAGGGTTACTCAGCAAAGGAACCTGGGAGGGCTCAATGATACAGTCTTCAAGGACACAAAAGGCCAGCAGCACACAGAAGCCAGAGGTGTCCACCCCGAGCAGTGGCAGGTGGCACAGGATGTCCCCAAACAGCACGCAGCAGGGACTCACGTTTCTCTGTTGACTGCACAGCGTGGAACAGCGTCAGGGGTCTCTCGCTGCAGGACGGGGGCTTGGAGTCGCTGCTCTTCTTCCGAGACAAGTGCAGCTGGGCATTGGTGAGAGGCGCATCAGGCACGGTGTTAAATATCTGCAAACAGAATTTCACAACAAGGTTATTCACGTCTGAGAATTGGGAGGAAAGCACAGGCCTGAACCAGTGAGAGCTCGGCAGTATCTAGGAAGCAGCAAGAAAAGATCTGAGAGGACCACCAGCATGCGCTAAGACTTCATTTTAAACATTTCTAGGAACTAGCATTAAACGTCCTTTGGAAATTTATCTAAGAGTTTGATAATCATTCACTTCCATTTCTAACCTCTCCTGCTATAATTTCCACTGATCATCTTTTTGTTGTTCTTTCCAGGGCAAATGGAAATCAGCTGTGCTCAATATAAGCCACTGTTAACAGCACTTAAAGTTTTTTGACCACCTTTGTCCAGAACCAAGGAATCAACATTCCTTTACCTTTCTTCGTTGGTTCTATTACCAAGTTCTTAACAACTGCTCCACAACCTCCTTACACTATGGGACACCCACTTAATAACATTCCAAAGCTGGCCTGGGGCAGGGCACCCTTTCCCCTTCCTCTTCGATTGTCCTCAGCTGGAGCATCCTTTTTAGTTGAGCAGCTCTGTTACCTGTAATGCTGAGCTTTTTCTTTTTTTAAGGGGGGAAGGGGGAAGGTTTTTTTTTCCCCTTGATGATAAAAGTAACATATATATGCACTAAAGACAATTTGGAAAATGTAGAAAAGTCTCAAGAAGAAAGCAAAAAACTCTTCCAATTCTACTTCAATGAATAAGTGTTATGTAGAGATAACCACTGCATTTAAGTTTAATTTCTTTATGAGCTTTTTTTTTTTGGAAGGGAAGGAGCTTTTATTATTACTTTTTTTTGAAAGTCCATGGTAAAATATGAGAAGAAAATGACAGACAAAAATCACGACAATTCTTTTTTCTACAGAGCAAAGTATGGCAGACTTTAATAATCAGATGCTAACACCGACATGGCGTTTACCATGATTACAGCGGCCACCCGACTGCAGACTTTGCTCTCAGTTCTCGGCAACCCTGAGCAACAGATGATGTCCCTCAGCATTTTGTGATGAAGAACCGAGGCACAGAGAGGTTAAGTTGTCACAATCATAGATATGATGTGTGTTACAGATGACAACACAGGCTTTTTCCCCAGATTCCTTTTAAAATGCATACAATAACTGTTGTTCTGATATGTGCATTTATGTGTTGATTAGTTAATACCAATTTGATGGTGAGTACGAATGGGTCCCCTTCTGCTGCTCTTGTGGTGCTCCACTTTGGATAATGGGCTTAAGTTTAATCCAGGAAAGTGTAAGAGGTGCTAGATCACTGTCATTTCTTATGATTGAGTAATATTCCATTGTGAACATATACCAAATTTTGATAATCCACTCATGGATTGACGGGCACTTGGGTTGTTTCCACATTCTTGCAATAGTGAATTGTGCTGCCATAAACATTCGGGTGCAGATGTCCTTATCGCAGAATGTTTTGTGCTCTTTTGGGTAGATGCCTAATAGTGCTATTGCTGGATCCCATTTGTACTCACCATCAAATTGGTATTAACTAATCAACACATAAATGCACATATCAGAACAACATCTATTGGATGCTGGGGAAGGGGGAGGGCGGTGGGAGGAGGGGGGAGGGAGGAGGGGGGAGGAGGGAGGAGGGGACGGGTATTTGTATACACAAGGAGTGCAATGCGCACTACCCGAAGGATGGACATATTTGAAACACGGACTTCGGCGGGGGGGGGGGAACCAAGGGCAACACACGTAACCTAAACATATGTACACCCATAATTTGCTGAAATAAAAAAAAAAAAAAATAACAATAATATTCACTCAATCAACAAAGACCTTCGGAGCGTCTACTTTATACTAGGCACTCAGGGTCTAACAGTGAAGGAGGCAAACATATTCCCTGCCCTTAGAGAGTTTGCATTCCAATACCTACGATTTCCTGAGTTCTTGCCACACCAGCCTCAGGGTTAAATGCTTTGTATGAATTATGTCATTTAATGTTAAAATTCACTTTTCCATAATTGAAATTTTATTCTCTATTGAGATTTTTATCCTACATATTTCATCTAACATCATATTGTAGCATTTCCCCATTCATTAGAAAAATTTTAAATATGATTCTTAATGGCTGCATAACACTCCCACTATATTGAGAAATAAAAATTTATGGATACATTCATTATCATCTCTTACTCTTTGAAGTTAGCCTCCTTCTGGATTTTCTCTTTCCTAAAAGTCTCTGGTATGTCTAGGGCCACCTTCACCTATGGACACATCAGGACTTTTCTCATTGTCGTCTCTCCTTTTATGGATGCATTTAAGAGCAGGACTCAGAAGCTGATATGTAGGAAGCAAAGTCATAAGAATTAAAAGAATTTCAGCCCAAACAGCTGCTCTCCATGGGTTGGCAGGTCCTCGGGCTCCAACGATGCCAGCCAGCTGGTTAAGTCAGTCTCGCTCCTAAGCACAGCTGTCCTGAAAACAGCATTATCATATTTTCCGTAGGGGACTGAAAATTTTCAACAAGATAAACTGAATCACTACACGTTAGCTGAGTTCAACTGGGGCGAGGGAGTTAGAAGAAAAGGAGACTTAAAGGCAACAAAAAAACTAATAGCTTCCAAAACATCTGGAATCCCTAAACACGCGCTTACCAGGGCTATACATCTCTAGTCTCTTTCTGAATCTCTACGACAGGAAGAAAAGAGAAAGGTTATGGATGTTATTGAGAATAAGGACTGCAACCTCTAAGCAGCTTTCTCCCCTCTTTACTGGGTCGCTTCTAGGTGACAACCTCACTATGTACCATTATCACAGACTTTTTTTTTCTTTTAGAGACAGGGTCTCACACTGTTGCCCAGCTGGAGTGCAGTGCTACACTACGTCCTTGAACTTCTGCGCTCAAGTGATCCTCCTGCCTCAGCCTTCCAAGTATTTAGGATTCTTAAAATTTTTTTGTAGTTATATGGGGTCTCTCTACGTTGCCAGGCTGGTCTTGAACTTCTGGCCTCAAGCAATCCCCCATCTCAGCCCCACCCAGTATTGAGATTACAGACATGAGCCACTGTACCCCAGCCCATTGACATTCTTTAAATGGCTCTTATGTATGAGTGTTTGCCCCTGCAAGGCACCATGGTAGGTGCTTTACATGACTCATCTCTAAGCTGTAGGTCAACTCAGCATAGTCAGTTGGATGGCATCTCACACTGGGAGATTTCCTGCCCTGCCATACAGCTAAGCAGGAGAGGGACCAGGAGTGAAGCCCCAGGGCTGTAGCAGCTGTTTATTCAGCTTGTCTTCTCCCGCCAATCTTCACTCTAAGAGCTGGTGCCCAAACCCACAGGATGCATTTCAATGAATAATGTTGTCTCCTAGCACCCTTCCTCCTCTGGCCTCAAGTTCAGCACCTTCAGCAATCCCTGGCTGAGAACACTTGAAAATGATTCAGAGGTAGTGATGGTCCTGGTTCTCATACTCCCCCCAACACCCTCTACCTCTGGCCTCCAAATTATGTCTCTTTTTAATGAGTTACTGAGAAGGAGATCCTCGCCCAACTACAACGGGAGCAAAGACCAGGTACATACATTTCAACTGTCAACAAAAATGTGAGCATTTACTTTTTCCTAAGAACTGTAGTAAACGCTGGAGAAACAAAGAGTAGCTTGTGAGGAAGGACCATGGATTTAGACAGATGCGTGAAAAATTGCTTCCAAAACAGTATTTGTATACAGCAGAGCAGGAAGAGACATGGGAACATGTGAGAGAGAATTTCACTCTGCTCATCAGCTGTTTTCTCTAAAAGTTATTCAAGCATGATAGGATCAGCTCTAGAAGACTTTCACTGTGGGTCAGAGCTATATCCCACAGGCCAGTCCTTTGGGTCTCCCTGTGAGTCAGGCTCAGGCTTCTGGAGAGCTCTGATAGGGCTGATTCTCAGGATCACATGCAACAAAGTGCACATGAGCACACTGCAAAGTGTAAAGTGCCAGACACTCATCATTATTATCAGGCATGTTTTCCCAAGGTGCAAGAGCACCTCTGTAAATTAGATCAAGTCAGAGGACTACCTTTGTAAACTAGATCAAGTCAGAGCAGACGACACAAACTTTCGTTAAGGAGCCTGGGAAACCATTCCCCACGTCACTGTTGTTTATTTAACTCTGAAACTTGAACACATGTAAGCTGTTTCAAGGCTGTTGATTGTCTGGCCACCTTCTAGCCAGGCCAAGAGTTTGCCTCTGTGCTAAAAGCTTGAGTTGAATTCTGATGAGAATCTGAATTATTCACAGATTAATTTTGTTGGTTATTATAATCCTATTTCATTTGGAAGAGATGATTTCAAAATAATCAAATGAACTTTTCTGCAGTCTGCTGCAAAGAATCACAGTACAAATGACCAGGCGGAATGATGGAAGCATGAGCTCATGTAACCTATGAGCGACGGATTTATGGAGCTCTACCATGTGGCTGGAACAATTTACTCATTTCACAGAGACTTTCCAAATTAACACAAAAAGGGGAAATTTATTCTGTGCCCCAAGTGCCCAGTTTAATACTGTCCAAACTTACAAACTAATTCCGACTTAATCGGGAATGCCTTAGAGATGTAAAGTTAGGAAGAGCGTAAGCCTTCAGGAAGCAACTGGAGAATAAAATTGTAAAATAAAAATATAATTCTGGGTAACCCTTCCAAGTAGCCCCAATTTCAAGCCTCTTCTAAGTTGAATTAGCACACCCATAAATACCAAGCTACTGTTTCCCCTTAAGCTGTGTGGGACAGTGGTCAGGGGTGGTTTGGCCTCTGCAGTCAGACCGACCCAGGCCGAGTCCCATTTCTGCTGCTCACTCAGCAGGCAACACCTACAGCGGCACTGACCGCGCATTCACTGATATTGACATCATTGCCCTATCACCACATAAAACATAGGAAAGGGGTTTAAAGTCATTGTACAGGTAGAAAGCAAACAGGCTGGGAAGCTACAGTATTGGGTTCAAATCCTGACTTTGCTACCTACTAACTAAGTGA